GTTACAGTGAAAAACACACTCATCTTCCTAACCACATCATTTATAACACTGGTTTTGTTCAGTGCTAAAATGCAATCTCTTCAGACACCTCAGCCTTCACAGGCCAAAGTCATTTATCTACTTAAAGCAATCTGTGTCCTGCAGTTTGCGTTCTGACAGGACTCTGCTTCACCGGGATCTTTGTATTTAATCACAGAGCATCTGAAATGGGAATTTTATAGCGAAGGTTCAAGGACAGAACTATGGATAAGGAAACCCATATGCCTTCTAACTGATAAGTGCTTCCTTTCCCTTTCCATACAGTTGTGGCAAAAGCTTCCACAAATCAGTGGCTCCCCTTCATCTAGAAGACTGCATCTCAAAGTACTCCCTCCATTAAAAAATGCTAAGGAACTGGAAATGATTCAGAAACAGGTGACAATGACAAAAAGCATGAGGGGAGAAGGGTTTCTCACAAAATGACTTTGAAAGACTGGACCTGCTTAACTTAAATAAGGAGGTGATTAGCAGAAGTATGTACAATCACAAATAATCAGCAGAACATATATAAGAATCCTCATCCTGACTCTATCTTGCAATTCAAGTGAAGCAGGTTATTCAAAGTTTACCAGATCCTCAGTAAGGCTTGCAAAATTGCCAAGTATTAATGACACTACTGAAGCCGAAGTCTGATCAGGGTCCGAGGGAAAACTGGACCGAGCTCAGAACAGTCAGATTGTCCTAAAACACCATCCTGTAAGGACAGCAAGGGCAAGCAGTGGAGGTGTTACGTGTCTTACGCTTCAGAGTTTATGTTAATCTCCGAGCTATTGGCTTTAAGAGGAGCAACTTCCTTGGGCAGATTAACTGCTTTCTTCTGGGTTCTGTAAATTGACCTCTGAAGTACCTGGGACTGGTTACTGTCAAACAGTCTGCAGATTTAATACCACATGCTGCTTCCTTTGCTTTGTTTCCAGAAACAGTGCTATGGAGATGCCCTGAAAATGCCCACTTACTTGCATTTTTCCTCAAAGAACAAGGTCTTTCTGCTAAGTCTCCTCAAAAGGAAAGCTGAATCATTACCATTTAAGTAAACCTGTGGTTAAAAATCAATGCAATATTGCAATAACCAAAAGCCACTCTCATTACTTAACCATTAAACAGCAAGTTAGGAAGCTGAAATTCTAATAACATCTTGATTGTAAGCAGAGTTCACAAGTCAAATGCCTTTGCACACTCTACTTTGTGACTGCATACTATGGGTAACGTAACATGTTTGGCCACCAACCTCAAAATTATTAAATGCTCACCACTTACTTCAGTACGGGATACTTAGTCACATTCAAAACAGTTTCCATGAATGTAAAGTTATCTTGTGCTGTGTAATGCAAGTGAACTACAGAAAGATTTGATGCATTCTACTAAGGACAAAGTCTTTCCCTTTTCCCTTTCCTCCTGCCATCTACCAGATTCCTACACTTCAGGATGGAAAGGTAAGTTTGCTGCCTCCACGTAACAAGCTCACTGGAATTACCAGCGAACCCCTGACACTTAAGGCTGTTTCTGGGTGAATATTATTGTAACTAATTCATAAATTTAAGTAGAGGTTTCCTGCCCTTTGGAATGAATAGATACATTGACAGACTGCCTTCTGGGTTGAATCCCTTACTGCTATAGCTTTTCTGATGATTCTGCAAAGGAAATTTTAATTCGTCCACAAATTCATGTTTACCAAAGAGTGATGCTACTTTTTTACTTTAAAGAGGAAGAGAAGACCAGTGTTAATTAGTAGTGCTCCTAAAGCACGAACCCTTTGCCTCTTGGGTGCAATGCTGCTACTGAAAAAGCAATGCAGGATGTTATCACTGCAGTAATAAAACAAGAAAACATTTCACAACAGCAGAATGCCATTATCCCAAAGGCTTTGCAGAGATATCAGTGCACGAATTGCTGCTCTCGGTACTGAAATGAAGTACACATACACTCAACCTGCTGCCATTCGGCAAACACACTGGAAAAGGCTGAGACAGCTCAACTACATGGAGAACAGAGAGGAGGAAGTGAAGAGAATGATCTCCAAGCAAAATGCCAGTAGAAATTCAAGTAGGCTGAAAGCAATAATCTAAGTCGGTACTTAACCAGGTCTAACATCTCCCATTATTCAATTCTATGAATAAATCTACCTTCCTTTTCAACACGTGCCAGAACTACCATTTTCCAATCTGTTATGTATAAGACAATATAAGCATAAATATCTCAGAGGATATCAAACACATCTCTCCAAAGCCTTTGTGTATGAATCATGGCTTTTTTGTTTGCTTTACTTGTATTGTAATTATGAGCTCAAAGACAGAGGGAGGGGATAGAGAAGAACAATGGGCTCCTGTCTCACCAGCAGGCCCTTAGAAGATCTCTCAATTTATTAGAAAAGCCCCAGAGAGTCCCCCTCCCTCAAGCTAAGCATTCTGGAGAACATGTTTCTGTGCAGCCCAGCTGTCTGAGACCAACTGAATGGGTCTTACTTTGAGACCCTTTAATCTGTACAGCCTAAACTGAACCAACAGGGACTGGCTGAATCACGAAACTAATGAATCATTAAAGTTTGTTTTTTTGTGACAACCAAATGTCTGCATAGAAAAATAGCAGTCAGAGAAGTAAGAACACTGAATTACAGCAGTCTCTTGCTGGCTTCACAATATCCATCATCACAAGACTTAGAAATCCAGTGCAGATCTCCATATAATATTTCATACCACTCTCAGTAAGGTCCTGGATAGGTCCCATTTCTCAAAGTCATGTAGGTCAAACTGTATTTATTACTAAATCAGGCAGAGCAGTGGAATAGTGTTAACTCCAGCATGAACCACAAGCAGCAGACGTCCAGCAACAACCATCTTCCTACAAATAAATAAACTGGTGTGTTGAATCTTGAGCACTATCTAAAGGACACCAAACTTCACCCAGAGATCCAGCAGAGAACTAAAACAAAGCAAAGCATACTGCTTTGAGATGCTGAACTTCCTTATAGGGGCAAAAAATGTCTAAGAAAGTCAAACAACATCAAGTTTATGTTCTAGAATGGAGGAGGAGGAGGAAAATATCAATAGATTGAAATTGCTTATTTTATTGAACTTTGTGTAAATACAGATAAGCTTACGTAAATGCATCTTTGTTCATAAAAGAGTTCTCAGCGTTAGTTCAGTAAAAGCACTTTCATTGTTGCTTTGAGTAAATGATTTTTACATATACTTATTTCAACCACTACTCTCCAAAAACAGAGGTATGAGCGCTACAGAAAGAAAGGATTCAGAGACTGAAGAATCAAATTATTCCCTTTGTTTATAGCAAAGTGTTAAAGACCCATTTTCCCCAGCTGCCATACATAGCTTTCCCATAAAAGGAAACCACTTTGGCTAACTTCAGCTCAGAATTAAAAATAAAAAGTAAAAAAATCTTTTTGACCCTGACCTGAGTAGCACCTGGAGCAAAACTCTGAAAGAGTGGAAGATGCTATTCTGGGTGAGCCTTAGCACCTGCAGGTGCCGGGATGTCAGCGCGGCAGGCTGTGCTGCAAAGAAGAGGAGTTCTCAACCCAGAGCACTTGGGTAAAGCACCGCTCCTACAGAACTGCTCTGGGATTAAGCCGCCCACGTGGAGCCTCAGTGCATCCAAGCGACTCCAACGCACATCGCGATGGAATTTGCTGCAGTTCAGCGCCCGAGCAAAGTCAGGGGTGATTAACCCTGCTGAAACGCTGTACCTGTGGGCCAGAGGTGTCCAGGTTTCTGCGCTGTGCTCAGCTTAACCAGTTTGGAACAAAGTGAGGAGGAAGCCCTCTTGGTGCTGAGCTACCTGCTCATACATAAAGTTAGAAAAAGGTAAAAAACATAAATTGTTTTACATTTGGAGGTGCAAGGGACCAAGGACAAGGTTTCTTGTTTTCTTCCCAGTTTTGCAATATGCTGGGCTCCAAGACATCTCTTCTCTGTGCCCAGGCTTATCGTTCTGCACAACAGAGTTTTAACTTCTGTTTAGAGCTCAGATGCAAAAGCAGCACACTCTACACCAGTGGTACCAACAACTCGTGTAACAAATTGGACCGCTGTTGGGTTAGACCTCCCTCAACAGCACTGATGATATCCCTCAGACTTCCTGAAGCTCCTCTCTTTGATGACTGTGCTAAAGGCAGACTACTTTGAAACCAGCACTTGGAATATGGCCAGGAAAAGAAGGAAAGAGACCAAGGGAGATTATCCTCAAGCCAAATGCCAAAGAAAAAAATAATCCTTTGTTTTTTATTTATTTAAAAGAAAGCCACTCAATTCAGAACAGATAGATGTCACCCACATTTGCAGCCTTAAAACATATATAAATAAACAGTGCACCTGGCAGCTGAAGTTATTGATTTTCCAATTCCTGAGGGATAATAAATCTAAATAAATTGAATTAAGTACTTAAAAAATACAGACCATTTTGTTCCTTTAAAATCTGTGCAGGGGATAGAAATACGAGCTTCTGATTTCAATTTAATCCTGGTTCAAGTAGAAGGAGATTTTCTATCAAAAAATACAATATGAGATGTGAAAGCTTCCTGCTGGAAAGCACTGCTAAAGGAAGAGATAGATCCTCTTAATTAAGGTTGTCTTGTATTTGTCTCCCTAAAACAGACATGATCAATAGGCACAGAATGAAATTGATTGCTGCAGCTCATTTCATTAGGTGAAGCAAATGTCTCCATAGAGATTAAGCATGTCTTTAATATCTGAAGGTGGTAACATCTGTCTTGGTGAAACCGTGAGCTCTCTGAGGCAAGGTTTAAAGAAAAACCACAAAAAATCCCACCCCAACCAGATTAGTTGTAGTTGCATAATTCTTACAGCTCTCTCCCCGACTCCAAATCACCAAACCCCCTTATTACAGAAATTATCCTTCGGGCTCTTATCTAATTGACCCTCTGTACTAGCACTAAATGTCACATCCTTCCCTAGCAACAGCTGCTAGACCGAGCAAGGTCTCGTCTGTCATGCATATTTCTGCATAGCAGTCATCCGGGGGCTCCACAAGGAAGCAGCTGGGAAGCCGGGGCCACGGTGCTCTTGTGTGGCCGGGGCAGGATGGCGAGCGGGGAAGCTGCAATCCGGAGCTGTGCTGCAAGGAGCCTCTGCAACCCTAAATTTGGCAGCCAAGGAACCCTGCCAGGGATAGACAAGAAGCTTGGAGGGCTATCGAACAAAAGCCTGAGCGCAGATGTACCACAATCACCACTAGAGGTGCGTGCCCTCTCTTCTTTTCCTCTTGCCCCAGCTGTTTTTTGTCCCCATTTTAACTGCAATGTTACTGAAAGGTAGGAAAATAGTGCAAGGGGATGAGGCAGGCAGTGATGGAGAGGACACAAGTCATCTCATGCTACGGGGGAGTCCGACTTGGCAAGCTTTGGTGTCAATTCCTGTTTCCAAAAGGGGTTCTTGGTGCTCACGTAGGCATGTAGAGGGCACAAAGCAGCATGCATCTGCAGTGCAGAAAGGGTTTTGTAGCACTGCAGGCAACTAACAGAGGATCTGAGGCCTGAGAAACAAATCCCACCATTGTTTCATGTTTTCATTTGGGAAAGGGTAAATAAAAATGCCTCTTGCCAGCCCAACAATAGGAAGGGATGTGGGTGAAAAGCAGCCAAGACAGCACTACCTCTTCATCTTGCATCCTTGCCGAGGTGGGAAATAGTACAGAACGTGAGCTACCTGGAACTGCATAACGCAATTTTCTGCCAGCAATGCCCCGAGCTGAGGGATTACCGTGATCCCAGGCTCAGGTCTTGCTAGAGCTTCCACATAAGCAAAGAGACATGAAATGTTCCCCCACCCATGTTTAAGGAATTGTTTTCATTGTAACTACACTCGCACCATCTGTCTCAGTTGCCTAAACAGTACCATGTGTGCAGTTTGTGCTACCCTCTCTGTAAAGATATTTACATACTCTTGCACAATGCACTTGCTGAAAGATGGATGAAAAGAAGGCAAAATCCTGCTGAGGCAGCTGCAGGGAAAAAATTAGAGAGAGGCATTCAGATTTGGCATGACTTGGGATGTTCAGAAAATTACTGAAACATTCTCATTAGCATCTCACAAACACATCCAAGTAAGCTAGGAAGGTAGAGGTCAGGGATACATTTCCCCCACTCCTCCCAAAATTCATGTTTCTGTTGTTGTTAAGAAAAAGTTTAAATCCTGTGAGAGTTCACTATAAGGTGGTGAGCTCTTAACTACATGCAGACTTTGGCTTAGGAAAATTGCAGTCAACCCCCAATTTTGGCATCGAAAGACACATCACTGTAAATAACCAGTTTTGCACATAACACTTTTTCCAAAGAAAGGCTTCTGAGCACTTCACTCTTTTCAGTTTCCCCTCTTGCCCCATTTTTGGAATGAAAGAAGAAATTTAGGGAAGAAAGTTGCCTGTAGTGGTGCAACAGCCCAAAAGCAACCGCAGAAACAAAACCCACGTAGTTGGCATCCCAAGCTGGTTCTCTGCTCACAGGACACAGCATAAGCAAGACTTCACAGATTCAACAAAATTTTTCATTTTGGGGTTTCAATTTTACTTGAAATGGAGAATTCTGCAGGTAGGCATTCCCTATTGACCCAGCTCAGTCTAGCTGGTGACATACAACTCCACTTGATACTTGATAAATGTTCAGTCAAAAGTGAAAAAAAGCAAAAGAAAAAGGGAAAGGAAGAAAGCAAGAAAGTTAGTTTAATGAAAGACATGACATAGAGGGGATATATATACTTTGAGGATGAAAGTTTCAAGTCAGTGCTGCGCTACTTATTTTTCAAAGGTAAATGAAAATGAAGAAATAATTGTTGGTCTAAAAATAATGTGTTTACCTTTGTGTGAAGCTGTGGAAAAGCAGGAAACTAGAGATTTAGGCTGGTGGCAAACCAGGTGTAGAATAAAACAAATCCTTGTGTACTGCTGTCAGCAGGCTATCACACGTTTGGTGGAAACCTTATTATAATATTACAAAAAAACTTATTATAATATTACAAAATCAGCACTCTTGTTTTCAAGCCAGTTTCAGAAACTCTGCCCCTCTTGCTTTCAACCAATAAAAAAAAAATGTCCCATGAACAATTCTTAAAAATTCCAAACTTTTAGCTGAGTGTTTGAATGGGAAGTTCTTGGACAGGTCCCTCCCTCTGATCATATACGTTCAGCCATGGTCCCACATTGGTTTAGGGCCCCAGATTCCATTTTTCCATTTCCATTCCAAAAAAAACACAAAACTGACATGAAAAGATTAAAAGGGTAACTGTAAGCACCATCCACCTGTTCTGGACCAAGGTTTGAGGATCCACTCAGGGACCAAGAGGAGTTTACGAGAAACCGAGTTTATAAGTTTTTCTGGGTTGTGACTAATCATTTCCAATGTAAGGAGACATTGGCCAGTCTTGTCTAAACAAACCAGACCAGGCGTGCTTAGGAAAGGAATTAGCTAACATTTTAAACACCACTTAGCTCCTACTTTAGGTAAACGGACAGCTAGAGCAGTTGGTAAACACTGGCCGCTCTCCTCGCCTGGACAATGGCAGAAGGTTTTGCCCAGCTTTTCAGTCCCCCAGTTTACACCAGCAGCTCCTTCACTTTCAGCACCTCCTCTGCTGGACCAGGCTACCATGTGCACGGGGAATTTCTTGCAGGGGTGTCCAGCCAACAGCCTCCTGGAGGCAAGGGCAGAGGCTGAGGCTGCTGGAGGTGAGCTGAAGGAAGCCCTTCCTCAAAGGCAAGACAAGGTTGGCCAACAGAGGGATCATGTCTAATTAGACTGACACAGGAGGAAAAGAAGCTTTCAGCTATACAAACTCTTCTTCACTTCTGTCTCTGCCCTCAGACCTGCAAACCTCCAGCAAAACTTCTTCCTCTGAAGAGGAGATGCATTGCTCTGCTGGTGCCTGTCTCTTACTGCTTGAAGCACTGGTCAAAACTGGGTATCCACCAATGTCAATATCTACATTTAGATAAAATGAATATTAACCTTTTGACCATTTATTCAAAGGAGAATTGCTTACAGTGGGACTTACTTTGGTTTCAAAATTGCAGAAAATAACAATAGGGATTATTTTAGATAAAAAATCTGATTTACACGGAAGAATCCTCTAAGAATTTAGAAAGGGCAGAAGACTGACATTAATGTTATCAGAAAACACTCAGAGAGTATGTGGTGGGAACAGTAAAAGCAACAGAATGAGAATGATGGACCTAAAGAGGGTTTAGCAAACTCAGGGAACCAGTTGGTTAGACTCCTGCAACAGAAACTCCAGTGGAATCACACTGAAAACTTGCAAGAGGCTGCCAAGGGGGCAGTAGAGAAGATGGCTGTTGTATTAGCAGTTTAAAAATTAAAAGTTTAAAGTCTGACATAGAAACAACGTCTTATGGCTAAGAATAAATATAAAATAACAGCAAAGCTCTCCTGTGACAAAATTGGAACCTACATCACAAAAAGAGCATTACAAGTACCAGGGGACATGAAAGATGAAAAGAGAATATTCTTTTAATATATCAGAAGGAAAGTACAGCTCTGCTGCTTAATACAAGAGAAGAGAAAATAATTCATGACAGAGAGAGGCTGAAGTAATCTATGCTTTCATGGCGCTAGGTCAAAAAAAAAAAAAAGGGTTAGTTGTGACCAGAAACTTCACACCATTCTAAGAATGACTAGAATAAGGAAAGAAGCAGCTGAAAAATATAAGGCAGGTTAAATGTAGTCAAGCTGGCATTTCTAATAAAATCCAATAATGAATTCAACCCCAAATCCCAAATCTTTGAATCACTGCCAAATGTCTTTGAGAATCTACAGTGAACATTAAAGACCCAGCTAAGAGGGAAGGTAAAGTGTTGCAATTCTCTCCAGAAAACAAAACGCAGAATAACTACTGAAAGGAGAGGGTGAAAGATCCGCATTAGTTTAGGAAAAAAGGAAAGTGACTGCAGTGCAATGGCTTATCATAAATGATAGCAATATTTAAAGACAACAATTAGTTGTTCTCTACATTTAGAGAGCAGAAGACAAGCAGTTGGCTCCACTTGCAGAAAAGGAGGTTTGCTTGGGTCAGACACAAGGGATTTTTTCCCGAAGTAAGAATACTTCAGAATGGGAACATGTGCCAGGGATACTTGTGGAACCATCCCCACCAAAGATGCTCAAGAACAGGAAAACAGCTATCAGGATTGGCCTCAGGGTATTTAGTTCTGCCAGAGAAAAGGGGAAGAAAACATGAAAAATGAAGCTAGATAGTTTCCTGAAGTCCCTCTCAGGGCTACATTATATTTTTGTGATTCCATAGGGCCTCAAGAACAAAACTGAGATGATGTTGGGAAGAAAAAAAAAAAAAAAAGAACAAAGCAGCAAAAAGCAAAGCCCATATCCAGGTTGCTGTTGGTCTCTTGATGTCTGGTTCTTTTGGAAAAGCTAAAATAACATTGCAAGTGTATGTGGAAGAATATGTGTTTTTGGACAGTGATTCAAACTTGAAGCTTTGTTGTAGGTGCTCTAAATTCCCTCAGAAAAACCTACTTCTCTCCTTCCCTCTTGGCTCATTAGGCTGAGAAAACAGCCTTCAGAGCTACACCAACCTTCCTAAATACTACTCTCAGCTCTCAAAATGGCACAGCTCAGAATGGTGTTAACTATTTCACTTGAAAAACAAAACCCTGCCCACGCTGCAGCTGGCAAACATGACCCATATTAGCCATGGGTTGCCTACATGAACCCAAAGTTCTCTTTCTAGGGGGAGCATTTCCAGACAGCACTTTATACAACCTTGCATTTAATCAACTTCTGCAGCTGGGGAAAGGTTTCATTTGCCTGAGCATCACTGAGGTAACACACACCAGTGTGGAGATGTACAATGATAGCTGGCATCCGCAATTGCCACCAGCAATTTTTGTGCCATAAAGGGGTGGCCTTTAGAGCAACTGAACAGAAACTCACTTTGCCACTGAGAGAAATGACTTGCAAAATATGCTCAAAAAAAGCCTTTGCTCATTCGCTGAGTGTCTTGTCTATACAGGATTCTGATCCTCCATCCTCCATGTGCAGAGCAGCCCTTGTAGCTAGCAGCCACAGAAGCAAGGACTGACTTGTAATACTCTCACACTAAGGGCAAAGACATGCAAAATTAACCATGCAGCTTGGAAGGGGCAGTGCTAAAACATGGAGATTTACCACAGAAGAAATTGGTAGAAATTTTAAGGAGGAGAGAGGAGCATG